ACTGTCAGTTATTAATGCTTTGGATGAGCTTTTTTTCTTTTTTTTAATTTGTTAACACATTCAGTCCAGTTCACCAAATTCTCTGCAGCAGAGGAGAGAGAGATGATGTGCAAGATGAGAAAATTCTAGCTAGGAAGGGAAAAGTTATCGAGAAAACTGGGCTGGAGGTTGAGGACAGTCAATTGGTGGGTTTTGGGCAAATTGAGGTATTTCCTGAAGGAAAGAAATGTAAGATAGAATGACAAAAACTAAAGGGATCTAGTGACTTAGCTGGGGAATCAGGAAAAAGGGAAGACAAAAGGAGGGAGAATAAGACACATTTGAGGTCACTGAGTTGGAAAGGGATAGTGGCTCTCCAAGAACTGAGAGAAGGCAGTAACAAGAGTGACGGTAGCCTCTGAAGCAAGACTATTTCAAAACAGATTTGAGTGACTCTTACCAGCTAGGATTGGAAGAGACTCGAGACAAGCCTTCACCATATTCTTGACAGATGGGGATCATCCAGCCAACAAGGAACATCTGCACACTGGTGTCATTCCAAAAACAAGCCGCCATAATACAAGTACATGCTTGGAGGTTGAGAGTGGTTTTTTTGGTTTTTTTTTTTTTAAGATTTTTTTTTTTTAAGATTTTTTAAGATTTTATTTATTTGAGAGAGAGAGAGAGAGCACGAGCTGGGGAGAAGGCAGAGAGAAAGGGAGAAGCAGGCTTCCCTCTGAGCAGGACGCCCGATGTGGAGCCCGATCCCAGGATCCTGGGATCATGACCTGAGCAGAAGGCGGATGCTTAACCGACTGAGCCACCCAGGTGCCCCAATGAGGTTAAGCGTTTAGGCACTTATAGCAATTTGACAGAGTAATTTTATATCTATTGAATCTGATGATAAAATGATTGGGGCCTGCATTTAATGTGTCTTTTTATTTCATTTTTCTCATAATTCCTTCATTTTTTTAATTGAGGTATAAGCAACATAACCTTGTGTTAGCTTCAGGTGTACAACATAACGATTCGGATATTTGTATACATTACAAAACGACCACCGTGGTAAGTCTATGTATGTCACCTTACATAGTTACCAAACTTTTTTTCTCGTGATGAGAACTTGTAAGATCTACTGTCTTGGCAGCTTTCAAATACGCAGTCTAGTCTTAATAACTGGAGTGGCCGTGTGGTACATTCTGCTTTATTTATAATAAACTTTTACTATATCTTACAAAGTATTCATCTGGGATGGATTACAAGTACCAAACACACCGTGGTTATTTGGGAAGCATCGATTAACCCCTTGCTACTCGGAGGGATCTGGAGACCAGCAGCATCTGTGCTGCATGAGACCTTGTTACAAATGCAGAAACTCAGGCCCCACCACGACCTTCTGAATCAAGACCCCTAGGTGACCCTGATGAACATTAAAGTTTGAGAAACGCTGTGCTTCTGTCCTTTCAGCCTTGGACAGGTGCGATTATAAGACGTTCTTCCTCATATCACTTCTTGTTCCACTTCACAGTACCTGAGGTCATGTGGGAAGGAAATCTCATGTGACAGTACGGTGACTATTTGAAGACCATTATCACTTCCAGCACTTACTTTACAAATAACTGTTGAACTCTGTTCTTTGTGAACTGCTGCGCTCCATTGTCAGGTTACAGTGATGAAGAGGACTCTGGCCTCCAGGAACTTAGAGTTAAATAAAGGAGATGGGAAATGGGATATGTACTTAAATACTATACTCACAGCAGAACTTGATGAACTTGTAATATAAAGGGCTTGGGAAATCTGTAGCAGGAGAAATTATTTCTACCTGCATGGAGGTGAGGGTACAGGTGCAGCCTGTGGCAGGGTGGAGTGATAAGGAGAACTCTTTGTGGAACTGTCATTTTCGCCAGTCTTTACAAGGTGGGTAGGAGTGGAACGTGCACCAATGGTACCAGGAGAGATCCAACGTGGGACAGGAGGACGGGAAAGTTTGGGGGCAGGTGTAGGGATCTGAATTTAAACCATAATTAAACTTCTGTAATTTAGGCCTCAGATGTTTAGAGACATCTGAACATCTACAATGATTGATTTTTCCCGGGCTTTGAAAAGGGTCTGATTTTAGAGACAACTGAAATGGCCAGTGCGCATATCTACAGGAATCTCTTTTCTGTCCTCTTAGCCATCTCGCGCTGAGGGGGAAGACTATACTCTGATTGTGAAAACATAGGACAATGTAGTCAACTTCACAAACACAGCAACAATGCAGTCACATGGTTAACGCTTAAAGGGGGCAGCAAGGAAAGGTCTGCTTGTAGCCCCTTCTCTCCCCAGTCCAGTCCCTCTCCTCCTTCCACCGTCCACAACATGCGCGGTTCCTCCCGTCAAAGGCCTGCAGCCTTTGAATAGCAACTTCCTCAGCCTGGATCTCGTTGGGAGAAAAAGTCCACATGGTAACTTCAAAAATGAAAGCCTAATGGTAAAGAAAATAAACTGCAGCAAGAGGTTGGAGTTAAGAGGGATTAGCTAGTAAGAGGTAAGGAAAACTCTAAAAAATACAGGAACAGCCCATAGAAGGAGCAGCCTCCAGCCTGGGCTGAGCTCCACACATTTTGGACAGGACACAGCACACAGCTCCCTGCATGGCGCAGAAGCAGCACAGCTGGAACTTGCCAGAAGTCTGTCCTCGCAGGTGCCTGGGAAAGCTGCTCACGAGAGGTCGGCACTGCCAGTGGGAGCTCCTGGGAGACTGCCGTGTGCTGCCAGCAGCCGTGCACCACAGGCGCTCCGTGCTGGGAAGCCTGGCTGTGTTGTGAGAGCCTTCCAAGCTGCTAGACCAGAACCAGGAAGCACCATCTTTCCGGCGCTCTCTACCGAAAAGCTTCACGTCATGCCATTTGACAAAGGAACATTATTTAAGAGGCTCAGATCCATTTTCACAGAGCATGCAAAAGGGGAGAATTTGGAGCTGAGAGGCAGTGTGTCGACACCGAACACAGCGACTGAGAAGTACAGATAGTCATGACATCCGAAGTGAAAAGTGCCTCGTGTGCTGCCAGAAGGACTACACAGTGCACTTTAGATTTAGGTCTTAGCTGTACCACTAATACAGTTTTTCTCTCTTGGTTGGGAATTGATGAAATTTTGTTCCTCATTTACTAAGTGTCAGGCATAGAGATAAACCCAAGGTGCAGTGAGCAGAAATGAAATACCTTTTGAGTGAAACTGTTTAGTTCAGTAGAAACTGTAGAGGCAGGAATAGCAGACAAATACAGGAAGGAAACAAGATTGCCTAAATACTTTCTTGGTACCTCCAGATACATTATCCCATCAATTTCATCCCATCAGTTTCATTTTTCGGGGTCTCCCATGGCCTCCTCCTTCTACTTCTACTAGCTGCTGGCTTAGGGCCATTCTGTACCATTCCCTACATTGACTTCCCTTTTTTCCCCTGTTGGAACATGTCTTCTAGTTACTGAAATCCTCCTCTTTCTTGATCTGCTCTCTTGATTGTTGAGGCACATTTTCCAGCAGCATGCTGAGAAAGGTTGCAAGGGAAATAATTTTGTTTGGGGACCATGTATAGCTGATAATATCTATTCTGTCCTGACATTGGATTGGTAGTTTGGCTGGTTATCAAAATCTAGGTTGGAAATAATTTTCCTCCCGAAGTTTGAGGTCATGTGCTCTCGGGGCAGACCTATGTCCATAGCTTTAGGTCTTTCCTTTCAGGGCTGGTCAGAACCTCCAAAGAGTCTTCTAGTTTCTTGCCTGGAGGATGTAGTTCTGGCTTTCAACATTTAAGAACAGAATTGAGGGAAAAAAGATTGATTATCTCAGCATTCACTATGTAAACATTCTATTTGTTCTGTCTGTTTTTGTGCAGTGCTCTTACCTCAGATGTGTCTGATATATCCCCCCCCCTCCAGAGACCCACCCTCTGTTTTATATTCTTTACAATGTAAATCACTTACCTTGCCCTGGAGCTGGGTGGGGAGCACCTAATGGGAGTTGTGTGTATATGGGGAGGCAGGACCTTGGAATTCAGCTCCTTCTGTGTCTGTGTTTGGCTCATCTCTCACCCTCCTTCCACCGTTGCCTCATTTAACCAATTCCCAGCCTCAAGGGATGGGGGGGTTCTTAAGTGCAGTTTAGATTGTGTCTTACCTTTCCTCACTGCTAAATTATGAACATTGTTTAGACCTTGGGTAAGGTACCAGTTCTTCAACAAGACAGAAAAATCTTATTCACCATGAAAAATGATTTTTCAAATTATTCATTGCCTTAAACAAACATGCCAAGTCTGCCAGAGGTTTAATATCAAGAATCTAATAAAGAACTCCTACACTTCCATATGAAGACAATTAACTCCATTTAAAAAATGACAAAAGACTTAAACTTAACATGTGTTTCACAGAAGAGTGAACACATATAGCCACAGACATGAAGAGGTGTTCCACATCTGAGTGACAGGGCGGTACAGATCAAGGCCACAAGGAGAGTGGTTTAATGGGTACAGTAATAACAAAGAAGCAAGGGAAAATCAGACATGGGATTTGGGACGATAGTTACTTCAGATGGGGAGAACAGAGGGATGGATGGTTAGAAGGAACATCTGGGTAGAAGCAGGTTCTTGTCAAGGTCCTAGCTTGTGTTTTGGGTGCGATGTTTGTGGTGTCCTTATTACATTATTGAAAATAGTTGGATAATTAAATACATGAAAAAAAAATGTAAGCCTAACAGAGCTGGGGCTCCCAGGGTGAAGTAGAGATCCTTACTCAGGTGACTCTTAGCTATGGTTGTCTGTTTTGTTTTTTAAGAAATAGCATTCTGAATCCTGGAAGAAGTATTTTGTAGTCAGAAGTTATAAATATATGTATATGTATATTAATCTAAAGTTAACAAATTATATTTCCTAGGTGGGGTTCATATGCTGTAAATATCTACTTTATAGAGTTTTAGTACATAAATATTTATAGCTATTTCTGTTCTTTCATAGAAATTTTACATTTTTTTCCCTTTCTTAGGACAAAGTTAAACTATAATCCTCCAAAAGATGATGGATCAACCTATAAGATTGAACTTGAAGGGATATCGGTAATGGTTATGAGAGAGATCCTGGATTACATCTTCAGTGGGCAGGTATGATGAGACTCACAGGGAGGAAGACTAAGTAGAGGCCGCTCAGGCTCAGGGCGAGGGTCTCCGTCATCCATTCTATGACCCAGCAACACTGTCCTCTTCATCTGTCATTGTCTGCGTGACGCATCTCTCCTGCTGGGAATGCTGCCCAACTGTTCTTCTGGGGCCCTGCTCTTAAAAGAAGAGCAGACTGAGTAAAATCTTAGCCCAGTCCCAGTTTTTGTATTTATCATTCTGATCTCCTCTCCACCTTCCATTGTGAGATGGGAGGGACCTGGGATGCTCCTTTCATGGCTGTCTTTATGTTTTCAAACCTTAATTCCCATCTTGCTCTGTACCCCATAACCTGGAAATGGGAGCTTCCTTGGGCAGTGGGAATTATTTTATAGAAATAAAGAGTTTGAGGTTCACACAAATGACAGGCCCCTGCATTGGATTCATGATGCCTGGGTCAGTAGGACTGACATCCCTGTCGTACCTGGTTCTTGCTGATGTCCCTTTACCTCTCTGCCTGTTTACGTTCCTGGGGTTTAACGAAACCCAGGGAACAAGGTGTTAAATGATTAGACTTCTTTCTTTTTCTTTACCATCCTCAAGGCCCCTACCCCAGATTTCATGATTTAAAGTGTAGCATGGGGCTCTTATGAATAATCATAGGTTGAACTGGTGTTCGTTTTTTAACAGGAAGAAGCTAGTGTATCTTACATTTTGTTATGTGAGAATGCATTTTATCTTTACTCTTTTTGAGGGCTTCTTTCTTATGCTGTCCCATATTCCTTCCTCATCTTATTTTACCTTTCCTGTTTGTAAGAGCCGCCTCCTACCTGTTTTCTAACACACTGCTTGCCTTCTCTGGTTATATTCATTCAGTCAACCTCAGTGATTTTCATTCTTTTTGAAGTTTTTGAGTTAATTTCATGATGTTACCCCTTCTCTTTGTTCTGAACATGGGGGTGGGGGTGCATGTAAGGTTATGTGTATGCTTGTTAAAAATAAATTAATTTAGATTGATTTGGGGACAGTCCTTAAAGTATTAAAGATACTCGGAAGCATCATAAAACCAGGTTGAGGAGCAGCCTGTCCTCTAACTTTTCAAAATCAGTTCAGCAGCAGCTATAACAAGTTATAAGCCAGTAAGAACATACTCCCATTCAGGCTTGGATTTGAATCTTGAAACCTTACTTACAGATTGACTTCTGTATTGAGTTCCCAGTTAAAATTACTTAGGCTTAAGAAAAGAAAAATAGAAAAAAAAATTAATCATGGTTTACAGCCATAGTTGCAATGTCAGTTAGAATGGACTCCTGACGTGGCAGTTCAGTTTGATCAGGACGGACTGTGGGTGTTTTCTCGCATGCCTGCATCTGACCGGTGTACAGCCATCCGCTGTCCTGTGGCTGAACTTAATATGTCAAGTAAACGGAAGATTTTCCCTTAGTTGTGACTTACTCGACACACTTCTTTCCACGGTTTTGTTGCTCACTTGATAAGGCGATTGGCAGTCAGACATTCTTTTTCTGTATCTGCGGCACGCAGTGTGTGAGATGGGACAGTACTTTACTTGCTCTCCTGTACTCCGGAGGCCCTCCTCATTTCCGAGTGTAGGACAAGCGCCCGTTCCGTGGGAGAGGGGAGTCCGGAGCGTTGTGACCGCGGCCGTATTTTTGAGGCTTGGCTCTTCACATCGCCTGTGTGTTGCAAGCGGTGGAAGAAGCAGCAGAAGATTAAGGAAAAGTGAAGTTCATCATGATAAACAAAGAAATCTTACCTTAGGGGTTTCTTCCAGAAAGTAGCTGTGAGACCAGGGTGTGCGTGTTGTACCAAATGCGATGTCTGGCATTCGGAATGACGTGGCCCTCCCCTCTCCAAGGGGCCGGCGTGGTGTGTCTGGCATGCCATCCTGCAAAAGACGGAACGTGGCGTATCTGGAGGCGGGATTTGCCACAGTTTGGGTGATGGCGTTTAAAGAAACCCTCTTCAGTTTACCACAGAAGGCGGCACGGTCCACCTCCCAAGCATTTCAGCCATTTAGTTCTAGAAGCAAGCAATGTGGACCGTGTACCCGGGAAGGGTTCGTGATCGTTCGTGTGGGTAAGGCAAGGGCAGTGCAAGGAAAAGTCAACCAGCCACGTTCTGTTCACCAGTGCCCTGAAGCGTCTCTTGAAAAAGAAGCCCCAGGCCAGAGTGTGTGAAACTGCCCGCAGAAAGGGAGCTTTCATGTTTTTCAGCCAATAGGTTAGTGGTCTGGGCTCTAAATACGTACATCGAAGCATGAAATACTTATGATACTCTTGCAGATCCGGCTGAACGAGGATACAATCCAAGATGTTGTACAGGCAGCGGACCTGCTCCTGCTGACGGATCTCAAAACGCTGTGCTGTGAGTTTCTGGAAGGCTGCATCGCCGCTGAGAACTGCATCGGCATCCGTGACTTCGCCCTCCACTACTGCCTGCACCACGTCCACTACCTGGCCACGGAGTACCTGGAGACTCATTTCCGTGACGTCAGCAGCACAGAAGAGTTCTTAGAACTCAGCCCGCAGAAGCTTAAAGAAGTGATTTCTCTCGAGAAGTTAAATGTCGGCAACGAAAGATACGTGTTTGAAGCGGTAATTCGATGGATAGCACATGACACAGAACTGAGAAAGGTACCTGTGGTTTATAACGTGGTCTGACTGCCTTTTTGCTTCCTTCCTGATTCCTCTCGCTCATTCATTTATTGATGGGCTCCACCATGTGGGTGTTTTCTCTTTCCCCTTCAACTCGAAAGGCTTACCGAGTTGTGATCTAAAACATGTCTGGGGGCACCTGGGTGGCTCAGTCAGTTGGGTCTCCAACTCTCGATTTCGACCCAGGTCATGATCTCGGGGTCCTGAGATCGAACCCCACATCGGGCTCCGTGCTCAGAAGAGTGTCTGCTTCCCTGTCTCCTTTTCCCTCTGCCCCTCCCCCCTTGCCCTCTCTTGCTTTCTCTCTCTCCAATAAAATCTTTAACAAAAATAAGGTAAAAGATGTCTGTGGTGCATCTTTACATAGGGCCATTGCATAGGATCAAGTGGTTATTTCTTTCAGACCAGACTACAAAAGCTTATGAAACTCATAATATGCCAATGGGAGTATTAATACTTGTAAGGACCGTATATCCTTTCTGCATTCCTTTTAGCGGGAAGATGCATGTCAAGCTTAAGCTGGGAACTTTAGAAATTCAGGGTTCCCGCTCTCTTGTTCAGCACCCATCTTTGCACCATTACTGGGCGGACCCAGGACTCTGATGTGGGCAGCAAAGTGAGAGGAACCCACACAGCTCTGGCAGAGGGGGCAGGGGAGTGGACATCAGGAAACTCTGTGGTGTGGGCTCTCCCTGGAGTGATTGACAGCACTCAGCAGAAGGCCAGAGAGCATTCTGCGGTGGGCCAGTGCAGTCAGAGGGGAAGGTTCTGGGAGCAACAGCTGAGAAGGAAGGGTCTCAGAGAATACCAGGCTTTAGATCCAAACTGTCACTGCAGTGGGGCAGGGAGCAGAATCACAGAGCTCGAAGTCCAGTGTTGAGAGACACCAGCTTCAATTGCTGTATGCAAAGAAAGAACCATGTTAGGTGTCAGAGAAGTTTTCAAAATGTATGATCTCATTGTTAGTGGTTCTCAGCAACTGCTGACTTCAGTTTTAGTGACTGTCTTGTAATTTTTAAAATTCTATAGGCTTATTTAGAAAATGTGGACTACTGTAATACAGACGGAAACTGTTACACAGGAATGAAAAAGAAATCCACACTCCTGTGTGGTTGTAGTCTCAGGACAGGCAGTATAGCTCGCGTTTGGTTTTCCACATTAGTTGGGTAGATGAGGAAAGGAGATAGAAGAATTCTCAGTTCACTGCTGCTCAGAGAGACCACAGTCACTAGCTGTCCCGGTGAGGTTGCCGCGGAAACTAGAGGCAGTCCAACCTCTGGCCAATCTGAAGCTCATTCCTCATGGACTCTTGGCTTTACCACTCAGGACATGGAACAGTATACCTTCAAATGACTGTTCCAAAACCAAGAAAAACTAGTCTACTAAGGAGTTTCACCTCGTGTGGTGTGGAATGCTGTAGCCCATGAGATCAAATTTAATGAGCCATCATGGAAGGTATATAATTTATGTTATATGTGTTAGGTATTTTTTAACAATAATAATGAAGAAATACATAGTACTCAGAATTTTTCTGAACTCTTGCTTTTCTGTTTTTCTTGTAACGTTAATGTTGACGGATTTTGATTATCTGTTTTCCCGGCCTGAATTAAGCTATTGCTATGTATAATGTTCCCGTAAATGCAATTGAACTCCTAGCATGTCCAACTCTGTGAAATAAGGCCCCTGCAGCCCAGTGACCCTCTCGGGTGTAAAGAAAGCTGCTTGGAACTCTTCTGCGATACCTCACATATAAATCTGAACTGATTATTCTTTAAGTTAAGCTTGTCTTTATCAAGGCCATGGGGAAATAGAAAGGAAAGGGGTTGGCGCTGGCGACTTGCCCACTGCTGATCCTTGAACAATTTTGGCTTTTCTGTGAGTCAGAAAGCGCATGTTCTAAAACCCCATGTGCTGCGTCCTACATTTTTTTCTCCCCATCCTTCCTACCTTCCTGTGCAGGTTCACATGAAGGACGTGATGTCAGCGCTGTGGGTTTCAGGGTTAGACTCCAGCTACTTACGGGAACAGATGCTCAATGAACCTTTAGTACGAGAAATCGTCAGAGAGTGCAACAACATACCACTGAGCCAGCCGCAGCAGGGGGAGGCCATGCTCGCAAACTTCAAGCCCCGGGGCTACTCGGAGTGCATTGTGACTGTTGGCGGAGAAGAGAGAGTGTAAGTATGGATGTGCTTCCTTTCAAAGGTCGTAGTAGGGAAGAGCTCTTTCCGTGTAAACAGGAATTCGTGGTATTGTTTTTGGTGTATAAGCATAATAGCAATAGATTTTTTAAAAATGTTTTAAACATTCTTTAGAGTAGTAAAACTAGTCATAGTTATTATAAGCAGAACTATATAAAACACATTAACTGCTAATCAATTATTTATTTCCTTAGTTCACGGAAACCAACAGCAGCGATGCGATGTATGTGCCCTCTTTATGACCCTAATAGGCAGCTTTGGATTGAACTGGCCCCTTTAAGCATGCCAAGAATTAACCACGGAGTTCTCTCAGCAGGTACCATTCTGCGGTCAATTTTACTTAAACACAAGATCAAGTAAATATGTGATTTCAGGGTTGTATGGAATGATTCAAAACCTTTTAGAGATTTAATTTTAAGAGATAATTTTATTATCTCCATGATGACGTCTTCTGTGTAGCTCTCGCTTTCAAGACTTTGTAAGAAGAGTGTCTTCTGTCAGTCTGTATTGTTCCTGAATCTTTAATATGTAGCTATTTTTAAGACTTTAGTGGAAGAGCATTGCATTTGATGACTTACTGATAGAAGAGCAACATTCAGTGACTCTTACCTACTGCCCTTTAGCTATGTGGCCACACCCGGAACACAGAATTCCCTTGAGCCGTAAAAGTCCCTTTTTTTTTTAATTCATGCAATTTAGAATTACAGTAACTATGAAAAATAAAGGTGTTCTGTCAAAGCAGGCATTTCGTGTGAGACTTTATAAAACAGTACTTAACATTAGCAATGGTTTAAGTTACTTTACTACATTATGCGTGTTTCACTTGACCTCCACGAGTTTGAAAACAGCTCTACCTTATTCAAAGCTCTCACTCAAGGAGGTGATAGGAGAGATTGTATTTGTGGCCTTCTGACTGTTCCCTTTCTTTTCACCTTGCTCTGCTCTTCTGAATTCACCCATAAGTGCCATTTCACTAAATTCCACTTATTATCAACAGTCTTCCTGGAATCCTTCATACTGTATAGTCTCTGCTTGCCCACTAACATTACTTTAAAGAGTTTGAAAGGTATACCCTCCCATTCCATATTATAGAAATGGCTGAAGCTATACTATAGTACAGAAATGGAATCATTTTTTGGGTTCCAAGATGGTTGAACTTATTGTCAATAATTATATAAGCAGCAAATGCAGTAGTGTAGCTGACAGGATGTGAGTCTGATTTTCTTGTTCTCTCTTCTCAGAATTAGCTTCCTTACATTTCCTTCCCTTAATATGTACACCTATTCAAAATTTTCACACACGCACACCTGCCACAACGTTTCCTATATCACAGATTTTCTGAGATTTCCTAGAGGGGTCGGTACTTCAGAAACATTGAACAATGAGGATGGGGTCGTGTCTGGTTGTACCGAGCAAAGCTGTGACATGATTGAGTGGTTCCTATTTGTCCAGCCAGTACTGTGTTTCTTCTTTTCCTGCTTTTTTTTTTTTTTTATTTTTTGGTTTTTTTGGGGCGGGGGGTGGGGGTCATTCACTTTGTGCCCTCTCTTCCAGGTTAGAAGTTACATTCTTTGTCTATATTCCTTTGAAAGTCATCATAGATACCCTAGCCTGTATTCTCAAGTTATAAAAGCCCAATGCATTTCTACTATTTCACAGTCTTGCAGTATTAAAATATATGACTGTTTATGAATAAGTATCTACATGTAAATGAGTTCAATTCATCTGTTTTGAATTCATCTGTTTTGAATATATATATATATATATATTCGGAACATACGGAGAGAGAGGGAAACTGTGTAGATTTACCCACATATTCACCACTTTCTTTGTTTTTCCTTCTTACTCCTCAGACCTTCCATCTAGGATTATTTGCCTTCTCTGAGGTCCATCCTTTTGAATTTCCTTTGTTGTGGGTCTACTGGGAGCAAACACTGATTTCTTTGTCTAATAATGTCATTGTTTTGCCTTTATTCTTAAAGGATACTTGTGCTGGATATAGAATTTTAGGGCATCTTGACCCTGTGGCTTGGTCTTTCCTCAGATCTGGAAAATTCTTACTCATTTTTACATCTTCAGGTATTGCCTCTGTTCCATCGTCCTCTTTCCCCCTGCTTTTTTTAGAAGTCCCATTAAACATGGCTACACCTTTTTGCTCTGTCCTTAGCCTCCTACCTCTGCTTTGTTTTGTTTTCCATGTTTTTGCCTCTCTGTGTTTTGCCTTCTTTATGATTTCTTTTCATTTACCCCCCGCTTAATGAGTTCTCTCTTTAACTGTGACAGATCTGCCATTAAACCCATCTGTTAATTTTTTCAAATTTTTTGTTTTTATTTTCTTATTTTATTCCTAGAGATTCTCTTTAAATCTTTTGCAGATCTGCTGTGTCACTTCTACAGTCCCCTTTTTCTAAGAGTTCTCTTAAAATTTGTCCTTCAGGGGGCACCTGGGTGGCTCAGTTGGTTAAGTGTCTGCTTTTGGCTCAGGTCATGATCCCAGGGGCCACCTGGGATTGAGCTCCACCTTGGGTTTCCTGCTCAGTGAGAAGCCTGCTTCTCCATCTACCTTGGACCCTCCTCCACACTCAAACTTGCTCGCTCGCTCTCACATTCAGATAAATAAATAAAATCTTCGTAAAAAATTTGTCATTCCATTTTTAAACATAATAGGCATTGTCATTTTATCATCTTTCTGGAGACTCCAATATGTGAAATTTAAAGTCTCTGTAAGACTAAGTCCTATTGTCAGTTCTGCATAGAGTCTAGTTTCTGTGTCTGAGTATCTTTGGTTGGGTGGTGATCATTTTAGTAAAAATTAATTGTAGGAATAATTTGATGCTTTAAAATTTTAGAATATTAGAATCTAAAGATTCGGTAAGGATATTTTCTTCCATACAAGTTTTACATTTCTTTCTTCCAGTTGCCTATAAGCACTGCACATTTGGAATTGAATTGCTATAAATCAAACCCAAACCTTGAGATCTCCTAGACAAGGAAGGAAATTTAAATCGGGTTTCTGGTTCTGGTTAAACTTTGGAGAGGCTCTCCTGCCAGAAGTCATACTTCCTGTGGGCCTGGGGTTTTGATTTTTGTCCCTTCATGCCCTCAAAGCCATTATAAGAAAGTTTGGAAATTTCCCAGATTGGTGAATGCCCTCAAAGCAAAATGGTTTCCGTGGGTGGTGACCTCTCCAGCTCCCCCTCTTCCTTTCGGCTTTGCCATATTGCCCTGTTGCTTCTTCTAAGATTATTTTATTTCGAAAATGTTTTGTCCAAAAGGACAAAATAAAACAAAAAATGTTTTGTCCAGCAATTTAGCTGTTTTGCACAAGAGTTGGTATGAATAACCTAATCCACCATTACCTGAAATAGGAAGTTCAACAGTGACTCTTAAATCCTGTTTTGAACATGAACTGCACAGGTGCCCCAGATCTGAGTGCTCCTGGGTCTTGAACGAGCAGATGTGGGCTGTGGATGAAAGGTTTTCTGGGAATCACAGGGGGATGAGGATAGACAGGGCTGCTTGGTGTCTGTGTAGGTGGTGCCAGTCTGGGCTGCACGCTATAGGGTAGTGGGGATCCACTCAGATGCTGAGTGAGGTGAAATGGCCAAAGTGAGCCACAGATGTGAATTAGCCTCTCTCACCAAGGATCGAATGAATTGCGATGAAAACCTCAAATCCACTGTTGTCATTAGAGAAGTTACCTCCAGATACTGTCTCTACACCTGTGCCATTTATACTCATCAGGAGATGGGAATTGAAGACTGAAGTTTCAACTTTCTCGTGTGTCTCATTTGATTTTTACAGAGGGATTCTTGTTCGTATTTGGGGGCCAAGATGAAAATAAGCAGACCCTGAGTTCAGGAGAAAAATACGACCCAGATGCGAACACGTGGACGGCATTGCCACCGATGAATGAGGTAAAACGTTCTTTTTCATTTGTTTGGTAGAGTGGCTGTCTTCCCTTTAGCACTTCCATTTGTTTTGCATCTGTGTGTATGTAAGGAGAGAAACAGTGACCCTGCCACACCCTGTGCTCACTGCCTTAGTGCCCACCATCCCAGCTCCTCTCTTGGTGTCTTCCTTTGGTCCATCAGACCTCCTCGTGTTTCCTCAAACCTACACACACTCTTGCTTTGGAACCTTTGCCAGACACCCTTGTGGCTTGTTCTCTGCTTCCATTGGTGTTTGTCCATGTGGCACTTCCTAGGGAGGCCTTCCCTCCTGCCCCTCAGCTCTTCTGTCTCCGCCCACTTACTTTCTCTTCATATCACGCGATACCTTCTCAAATACTGGATATTTTTTAATTGTTCACACAAACTCCTTGATGGCTGGGGATTTTGTCTGGCTGTTGAGGGCTCCGTCTTTAGTACTAGAGCAACACTGGGCACAGAGGGGACAGCAGGGACACTAAGCAAGTATTTGTTGACAAATGTCCCCTCAGGCTTCTGTCATTGCAGTTGGCCGTAGCAGGAGCCCGGCTTCCCCATGCCTCTCCCAGCCTCTAAGGCAGAGCTCTTGCTGGGGTTCTTCCTTGTCTTTCACACAGCAACTTGGAAGCACTTTAGCCCATTGCTAAACACAGTTTTATTGAACCAGAAGGTAATAGTTCTTGTTGTTGTGAGCGATGGTGAGTACAAAATGGTGACTCCACCAGTGAATTTATCACGCATGTAATTCCCTTGTTTTGAACAACTCCTAGATTGGGTTCTGTCTCTCATGACAGAAAGGTGAGCTGCTCGGAAAATCGCACATGTCTGAAAGAGATGGTTTTGAGCATGACACCTTTTTGCTGAAACTCTGGAATGTGATGGTATCTGTAGTTTTTATTAAATGTGTGGATATCTGCTTTCAGTCTGGTGTTTGGCTTTTTATATAAAGAGAGCTTTGATGTCTTTTCAGCCACGACATAATTTTGGTATTGTGGAGATAGACGGAATGCTGTACATTTTAGGAGGAGAGGATGGTGAGAAAGAGCTAATTTCCATGGAGTGTTATGACATTTATTCTAAAACCTGGACGAAGCAACCTGACCTGACCATGGTTAGAAAGGTGAGAACCATATCTTGTGATTACAGATTGGGTTTTAAAGTTAGCCTTTCTTCCTTTCCCACATCCACCTTTCACTACAATCGATAGTGTTGAAAGAGGGAAGGTCACAGACTTCTGTCACTTTCGGTGGCTTGCCTTCATTGTCATCAGCCCTACACCCGGACAGGAGATGGAGTGCGTGTGAGAGCTCACCCTGACGGGGGCTCTGCAATGCACTGCTGTGCCCACTCCTGCGCTTGACAAACGCTTCATGAGCACGCTAACCTAGGAAGCAGCCAGGTCTTCCAGCCCTCTTGTCTTAATGATCAGGCAGGCCTGAGGAGAGATAGCCGGCAGGTAAGCATGGCCACTGCGTCCAGAGTAGAGCAAAAACTTGGCTTCCGTTAGCCTTTTAGAGCACAGGCTGCTTTATTCCTGTTTTCTGGGCTGGGAGGGGGGGGTTCTTCTTCACACCGAAGCTTCCAGTCTTGTGGATATTTACACCTTGGGTGCTGTGCTCCCACTCTCTGTGCTTAACTCATTTGGAACAGGAATTGAATGACATGTTGCTTGACAGAATCTCAATCTTGGAATCTTCAAATAGTTGTGGAAGAATGGAGAGACTGGAAAGCTCCTTTAAAAATTTGGGTCATTTACGTATCTCACTGAGCACAGTCACGTCAGATGGAGTTAACAAACGCTACGTGTACAGCCTCCTCTTCTTGCTTTTAAAATCCTGTCTTCCTAGTATTGGAAAATACCATAGTTTTACTATTAGAAATCAAATCCTTTCCCAGACACCATGTGTGCTCTCTAGACTAAAGTGGGTATTTGTGTAACATGAATAGTAAGTGTTGCCTCCCCACCTCTCGCTTTCTCCTTCCAGATCGGCTGCTATGCAGCTATGAAAAAGAAAATCTATGCCATGGGTGGAGGGTCGTATGGAAAACTCTTTGAATCCGTGGAATGTTATGACCCAAGGACCCAGCAGTGGACTGCGATCTGTCCGCTGAAGGAGAGAAGGTACGAGAATGCGGGCATGAACCATGTAGGTGCCCCGTTTCTTTCAAATGAACCTTTCACTTGTCTTGGCATTTGGTTTCTATAAAAGTCCATGAAAAATCCATTTCTGGAAAAGGAAGACCCACATATGCATGGAACCCTGAACACTGCAGAGTTAAAATAAGCAGAAGAGGAGCTAGGGAATTGGGCCATGAGTTGTAAATCCAGTAGCTGATCCGCTGCATGTGGCCTTTCAGATTTGGAGCCGTGGCCTGCGGCGTGGCCATGGAGCTGTACGTGTTTGGGGGCGTCCGAAGTCGGGAGGACGTCCAGGGCTCTAATGAGATGGTCACTTGCAAGTCTGAATTCTACCATGACGAGTTTAAACGGTGAGTTTGAATGGCTTCACATAACTTGTGGAACTTTTCCTCTCTGCCTTCAGAGTCATGTCTTCAATTTGTTTTGTTTTGTTTTCAAGCTACTTGACAGAATTATCTTGTTTATTTGGGACATATGCCTAGAGCTTACTAGAGATTTTGTCAGAGACTTCAGAAGTATTCGTAGCTTAAAACCATAGAACGGTGTTTCTGAAACCTATATCAGACCTTGATCCTTGGTTGTTTAAAATCATTTATTGGCTCCCTGTTGCTTTTAGGAGAAAATTTAAACTCTTTAACCTAGCGTGTGGCCTTCTGTGATATGGCCTTTCTCTATTCTTTCTGCTGTAGTCAACACAGACGCTTCACTTGAGTTACAGTGAGCAACATTTTCTCCCCAAAACATGTTATTGATTATCTCAACTCTGTGCTTTTATACTATTCCTTTTACCTAAAATCCCCCTTCAATATTTATCCAGTTAATATAATCTCTTCCAAAACTATGCGTAATTATCACTGCCTAAAGAAAGCCTCCTCACACCTCCCAGTCTGGTTTAGGCTCCTCCATCTGTGATCTCATAACATTCAGGTCATGTCTCTTGCATTGTAATTGTTAACCATAAGATTCTTTTTTTTTTTTTTTTTTTTTTTGGTAAGATTTGATTTATTTATTTGAGAGAGAGAGAGATCGTGAGAGATCATGAGCAGGGGCGAGGGCCAGAGGGAGAAGCAGACTTCCCGCTAAGCAGGGAGCTTGACGCAGAACTCCATCCCAGGACCCTGGGATCATGAACTGAACTGGAGGCAGACTCTTAACCAACTGAGCCACCCAGGCGCCCTAACCGTAAGATTCTTGAGGGCAAGGTTGGGCTCAGCTGTCCATGGATCTTAACTTCAGCATCACACCTGGCCTGTGTTAGACTCCCAATGGAAGTTTGAGTCGGTGAATGAAGTGTGGTGTCACAGAGTCTCAAAACATCTGTTTCAGGTTGCTATACTGGTCTCGTAGACTAGGCATGCTTCTACCAACCTCCTTCCCTTCTCTCCTCCTACACATTTTATTATGGTAAGCACTAAACTGCACCATCTAAATCACAGAGGGAAATGGTTATGTGAAAATTCATCTTGTTACAGTATTTCAATCCTGTTACCAGAAGGGGGTGCCATAAGGCAACATTTAATTTCATACTATTTTAGATTAGAGCAAACAATGAGCAGCTACCAAGACTTTAGAGATACATACAAATGTTACCTAACTTTTAATGTATTTCAAAGTGAGGATATTTGCATAGCCTTTCTCCTCTCCCCCCATCAATTATAGGGGTAGACCCCCTTAGGAAAATTTATTAGACAAAGTATGAGAACAGTTTAGAGAATGTCTGCTATGGTGGGAGTAGGGCAGCATTTCAGACTTTTATACATTTCTCTTCATAGATTGTGGTGAGGCTGACCGTCCAAGGTGCAAAGTAGCATGTTAATTCCTGCCCAAGTGACTCTCGAGACTGTCTGCTCAACTTCATTTATAAGCAGTGGTCAGTGTGTTTGGTCTCTGATAAAATACAGACCTGTGCCGTCTTCATAATGAGGTACTGCCTGGGCAGTGTGAGCTAGAGGCTGCCACTTGTTCGCTGGGGGAATCAAGGCCACGTATGCCTCACCTGTCCCTGTCCCTGTTTGTTTATAGGACTTAAATCTGGCTGCAGAGTTTCTCAGTTTGCCCTTGATCTGCTATCAATTGCTAGAACTTTTCTATTTCTGTCAGGTTGTTTTATATTAATAGTTAATAAGCTTTAAACGTAGCTGTAGTACTTGCTTTCAGTACATAAGTATTAGACATAAGAATATGCCTCCTTCCTTGATATTTAAAAGCACTTCCAAATAAATTCATGGATTAGTAGTCTCCTCATTTCTGAGCTGTCCAGTGTTACTTTTTTTAAGGTAAGCTCTAGGCCCAACATGGGGCCTAGAACTTACAGCCCTGAGATCAAGAGTCTCATGTTCTACCAATGGAGCCAGCCAGGAGCCCACCCACATTAGGTGTTTTTTGTTTTTTTTTTTTAAAGATTTTACTTATTTATTTGTCAGAGAGAGAGAGGGAGAGAGAGCGAGCACAGGCAGACAGAATGGCAGGCAGAGGCAGAGGGAGAAGCAGGCTCCCTGACGAGCAAGGAGCCCGATGTGGGACTGGATCCCAGGACGCTGGGATCATGACCTGAGCCGAAGGCAGCTGCTCAACCAACCGAGCCACCCAGGCGTCCCCCATGTTAGTTTTTAAATAATAGAATGAGGAAAGCTCAATTTCTTTCGTCAGTATAACTTATAGGGTTCTTACTTGTTTGAGTGACCCCAGAGGCATACATAACTCTAAGTGCCTTGTATTAACTCATTTGTAACTCATTCAGTCTTCAGAATAACCCTCTCAGTCCCTATGTGCTCTTTTTAGTCCTCTTTTAAACCAAAACACAGAGAGGTGAAATAATGTGTTCAGAGACACACAGATAGCAAGTAGCAGAGCTAGAATTTGAACTCGGGCACTCTGGCCCAGAGGCCACCTTTTCAGCCACCACTCTACATTGCATTAAAAATACAGGCTTCCCCATAAAAATCTATAGGAAGAAAATAACATATAGCAGTAGTTTATTTTTCAAAAGAGCAGATGTTTCCAAGTATGTTATATTTGCGTATTGTGGAAACTGTTGCCAGAGGACCAATCTGTATTAGATTGGAGACCATTTATTGTTTTTAAGTAATCTCTTGTCTTTCCTGCCTTTGTTCCCTATTTTTAGGTTAAAACTTTCCTGGAAAAATGCCATACCTTATTTTCTGTGTTTCTAATGAAAAGCAAAACTGTTTGAAGGAAAGCGAAGAAATTGCCATAAATTCTATCACGTCATAGTAACAACTTAATGATATTATCCAGAATGACAGGCAGCTCTGTTTCGATTCCCGGTGTCCCTGCTCTTCTAATACCACCATCCTCCCAGTTATCCGTACTCAATGAAGCTTATCCTGATTCTCTCTCATCCTTCACATCTTACCGGTTGCCAAGTCTCGTCTTCTTTTGTAGACTTTGGAATATTTTCCAGAACACCCACCCTCGTTTCTCTGCTCCTGCCCTACCATGTTCACTTCCTTGTGTGTGCAATGGCATTAGCCTTCTAACTGGTTTTCCTGTGCATTTGGTCTGTTTGTGTTTTTGAAAGATTATTGAAAGATTAATCTGACTTTGGTCATTTCGTTCTCCTTCTGGTAATTCTTGGTATTTCCCCATTGCTCACCAAACAAAGATAACAGTATGTAGCCCCCTGCTGGGGTCCTCTATTGTCTGAGGTTAAGAGAAATGTTCAGTCTTTCCCAGTCTCTTACCTCCCATGTCCTGCACTCCAGCTCCTTTCTTAATCCGTCCTGTGTCTGACTGCCTCCATGCACATGCTCAGCATGGATGCCCTGCTTTTGTTTCTCTAGAACAGTCATGGTGACTGCTGAAATCAGGACCTGCCAATTTCATCTTTTAGTCCATGAATGTGTAATTGAGCAGACATACTTGACAATGGGCAGAATCCCCATGTTGATTCTCTGACCTGCAGGGGGTTGGGCATTATGGTAGGAGAGGCTGCTTGGAAGTCTCTGTAACTTTCCTACCAAGACGGAAAACCAAAAGCAATTCTACATCCTTGAGGAATTTACAGAAATTAGTGCCACCATCAAGAACTTGAAAAATCCAGGAATGGAGCTACCTTTCATATCCCCACTTAAGTCATTTTAAAAAAGTAGAAAAGTCAGATGGATTTTGGAAAATGTCCATGTGCTTTCATAAACGTAATTCAGTGGTTACACTGATCACAGATTTAGTCCCAGATGTAGTGTCTTTCCGCAAATATTGTATCTTTATGCAACACAGACTCTGGCCTTGGTCCGCAGCTTTTGACCCCTGGTGCTTTTTCTTTGTACCAGTTTGCAGGGGCCACCAGAAGCAGTTTGCTTTTGCCCATCAGGGCCGACAGGCCCCCTGCACTGTCTGGCTTCAGGGGTGTACCACTTCTGCTGTTCCCATATGTTAGTCCAGGGAGATCTTGATCACCTTGGTGCCCCATGAAAGCGTCATGTCGGTCTACTCCACTGACATTGTGGTGTTTGGATTGACAGTTAGGAGTGCTGCAAGTACTGCAGACACCTTTGCAAGTCATGGGGAGCTGAGCTGTGCTCCTGACCACATCTGTTTCAGTCACGGCCCAGTCACAAGACAGAAACCACACCGGTAATCTGAACAGAGAAAATGGAATTCACACCATTACTTACTAGGAAGAGGTGGTTAACAATGAGTGCAGACATGGCTACTGTAGGAAGTGCAGCTACTACCACCTTTAGGCTGAGGGCAGTACCCAGAAGGGGCAAACTGGGAAGAGACCTCCCCACCCTGCAAGGGTATGGTGTGGCGACTGGGTTCAGGACGCTGCCTGTTGGGTGGCAGAAGACCTTGCTGAGGGCAGGCACCTCTGGGTTCCCTGCACACTGCAGGCAGCAGCCCTTGGGAAGAAGGAGAAAAGCGCACCAACCCTGGCACCAACCCTGGCAAAGCAGCCCTCGGTGCCGCCGAGCCTCGCAGTCCCTCCAGCGCCCTCTACTGGCAAAGCCCACCACTGCATTTATCTTTTCAAGGCGGTTCATTTTCTCCATTGTGTTTTGTGTTTCATTGCTTTCTGCTCTTGTCTATATTATTTCCTTCTTTTACCTTCTCTGGGTTTATCCTGCCCTCTGTTTGCCAGCTTCTTCAGGTAGAATTTTAGATCTCTTCATTTCTTTACTGAAACCTCCATCTTTTCATCAAAAGCATGGTTCCCTTTCTTTTTTGAACATAGTTGTAGTGGCCACATTCAGGTCCCCACCTGATGGATCTCCTGGCATTCAGTTATCTTGGAGCTGGTGTCTGTGTATGGTTTGTTACCTCGAGAATAGGTTCTCATTTTTCTGGCTTTTCTTTTGTGAGTAATTCAGGATTGCCTCCCGAACATTGTGAATGGCATGTTGTCGGGGCCCCGAAGTTTCTTCCCATGCTTCAGAGTGTTGCACTGAGAGTTCTAGCAGGCCGTGCCCCTGGCTCGGCTCCTGGCAGGCTGTCAGGCCTGCAGTGCACGGCAGCTCAACCCTGTCTCCGGTTCTGTAAGCCAGCCTCAGTTATAAGCACTCACGGTTCCGGGGTCAGTCCAAGACTTGAGACAAGCACATGCGTGTAAAATTAGGCATCCTTCTCTACCTCTCGTCTTTCTGAGACTTCCCTACGCTCTGGAGATTCTGGCTGCCCTGATTCTAGCAGCCACAAAGATGGCGGCTCTTCTCATGGGGTCTCTGCCCCCTGGAGCTGCCAGCGTCATGCCGCCTTTGGCCAAAGCTACCAAAGATCCAGAAACTCCTCCTCCTAGGTTGCTGGTTCCAGTTTTCCTTTCTTTCTCAAATCTGCCTGCTTTTGCTCAGTCTCCAGAGGCCTCAGGCACTTGTCTTTTGTATCTCACCCAGAGTTTGTAGCAGGAACTCTTATCCAGAGTTCCTCGCAGGGCGATCGGCTTGTTAAGGGAGGGCTTCTTTCTCCCCCCGGAAACAGAAACCTCACCAAAGCTCCCTCTGTCTTTACTTCTCCTCTCCAGCTGATTGCCCCCCGCCCTGTGCCATCTCTCCTTGCCTGTCTCTCCCTCCTACACTGCTCTTGCTGAAACTCGCTGCTCCAAGCCAGGCTATAGTCTAAAGTCTCCTTCGTTGCTAATTCTAAGCGACCAGAGGACACATCCTGGTATCCTCAAGTCCTAAGAAGTCTGTGTTTGAAAACATTGTAACTAAAGGCATACTGTTGCTTCCTCCATTACAAAGGTGACTGCTACTTAGTGACACCCACTAGGTGCTGGGTGCTATGTGATGTAATTTACACTGGTCGCTTCCTTCCATCCCTGCAAGTCCTTGGATGTTAGTGGTGGTGTTTGGTCTCCCCACTTCACAGATGATGATTGGCTAAATTGTCCAAGGTCAACGAGGTGATAGATGGCAGAGAAAGAAGGCAAAACCATAGGCCTTTTATACCTGTTTAAAAAAAAAAAACTGCAGCTAAAGACATGCTGCAATTCAGTTTTTTATGTTAGTTTCATTTCATTCAAAGCTTCAGCATTATATGAAATAGATCATCTAGGATTGTTTTTCTGGAACTCAGGAACTCTGAGTCATTGATCTGCTTTGGAACAAATTTGGTAGATCATCTACATAGCCTGATTTCTTGAGCTTTGTTTAATTATTCCAAGGAAGAATAATGTGAGATTCTCAACTCTACAAAATTATGCCAAAATATTGTTGTATTCTGATACGCCTTTCAGTAAACACTCTAGTTGTAGATGCTCATTTAGAAGTGGCAGTTACCCTCATGAGCATACACGTGGCCCCATCATGGATTTGCCTGAAAGAGCTGTGTGCCTCTGCACGGGGGTCGGGCCTGGGTGCAGGGTTCAGCAGCAGACAAGGCCTGAGGACACTCTCAACAGCTTTGCTTGATTCAGAACCTGGGAAGAATTTAAATGTCAAGGTTTAGATAATTGTGTTTAGCCCTGAAGACATAAAATGTGAATAAGCCAGTTATAGTTTGATATTTTCAAACATTTTCTTTCAAAGGCATCTTCAAGTCCCTATTTTCACTTCTCAATGACAGTTCCAGAATGTTTCCCTTCCCCTATTTCTTAGTCATTTTGACACCAGCGGCCAAACTGTATTCCCAGTTCCAGCAAACTGCTGGATACCAGTCATCATTCAGATGGAACGTGAATTAGAAGTTGAGTGAAGGTATTTCGAATATGGCAGCTGCACCTTAGCTGTGTTCTGAGTTGTTACGTGATCTCGAATCATTTTGCTTCCATGTTTCTTAGAATTCAAAATATGGAAGTTGCTACTTTATAATAATCTGGGAAGAGTTCTTTGCAATCAAAGTGCTGTGCTTAGTAAGAGAGTTTCACATTTGTACTTAACAGCCGGACGACTCGGGCCAAGCTGCTGGTTTCTCAGACACGTGGTGGCAGAGTTAGAGACACAGGAATAAGGCCCACATGCCGTCTGCTCCAATAACGAGTGTAGACCTGGACACTGGAAGTTCTGGAGGGTTTAGATACATTCCAGAGTCTGGGAGGGCTGCTATACCCCAGCTGTGTTGTTAGCTCTTAAAAGGAAATTGGTCCAGTTACCTTAAGTGAACATTATTACAAAGCAGAATCTACGGTTGTTAAGGTTGTTTTTTAAACAAAAACCACTTTAATTTTGGAATAATTTTACACTTAATTTTACATTTTTAATTTTACACTTTTACACTTAAAAGTTGCAAAAATAAAATCCCCATTAAGCCATTCACCCAACTTTTCTTTGTGTTAACATCTTAAGTAACCATAGTGCGACATCAAAACCAAGGTATTTATGTCGGTACGGTATTAATAAGTAAATTATAGTCTTTTTATTTTTTAAAGATTTATTTATTTGACAGAGAGAGACACAGCGAGAGAGAGAACACAGAAGAGGGGAGAGGGAGAAGCAGACTCCCTGATGCGGGGCTCAATCCCAGGACTCTGGGATCGTGACCTGAGCCAAAGACACTTAACGACTGAGCCACCCAAGTTCCCCTAGTCTTTACTCCAATTACACCAGCTCGTCCACTCAGCTCTCTTTTCCCTTTGCTCTGAGATGCCGTGCGGGATCCCACAACACAGTGTTGTGTTTCTTTAGTCTTTTTTTTTTTTTTTAAGATTTTATTTATTTATTTATTTATTTGACAGAGAGAGAGAGAGAGAGAGAGAGATCACAAGTAGGCAGAGAGGCAGGCGGAGGAGGTGTGGGGGGGGAGCAGATCCCTGCTGAGCAGAGAGCCCGATGGGGGGCTCGATCCCAGGACCCTGAGATCATGACCTGAGCCAAAGGCAGAGGCTTAACCCACTGAGCCACCCAGGCACCCCTCTTTAGTCTTTTTTAACCTGTGATGTTCCCTTGGTCTTTCCTTGCCTTTCATGACCATGATATTCTTGAAGATAATTGGTGCATGTATCTCTTCATTTGGATTTGTCTTATGATTTCTCATGATCAGGCTGAGGTTGGGCATTTTTGGCAGGAACACCACAGAGGACGTGCTGCCTCCATGTCTTAGTACCGGTGACACTAACGTTGATTACCTGGTTAAGGTGGGGCCTCTTGGGTTTCGCCACTATAAAGTTGCCGTTCTTTCCTTTTACTTTACAAAAATCCTGGAAGAGATCATTGAGAATATGCACCATTTCTTCTCAAACTTTGACCACTAATTAAGCACCCGTCGGTGGACCCACCCTGCGGTCACTATAACTGTGGTGGTTTCCTGATGCTGGTCTATTTCCCTCATTCTGTCTGCATTTGTTAACTGGAATTCTGTAAAGAGAAGACCTGTCCCTTCTCCCTGTTTCTTTTTTTTTATGTATTCAGTTACTTACTTGTATCAGTATAGACTCAGGAATATTTATTTTATTCTGTGAGTTATAAATCCAGTACTCATTATTTATTTTGTTGCTCAGTTGTTCCAACTTTGGCCATTGGGAACACCTTCCTATTAGCTCCGTGTCCCTTGGACACACCCGCCCTTCTGTAAGCACTTCCTGTCTGGTAGCACAAGATGCCTCAGACGCCTCTCGTGTTTTCTCTCTCAGCGGGGGAATCAGCCATCTCTTTGTGGAGCCCTGGATCCTTTTTGTGCTTATTAAATTGATTTTCAGCAGAAGTGTCAAGGCAATTTAGTGAGGAAAGAAACATCTCTTCAGCAAATGATGCTGGAGCGACTAGATATCTGTGTGGAGGACCGGTGAACTTCTGCCTCACACCATACCCAAAATGCAACTTGAAATGCATTGTAAGACCTGAACATAAAAGCCGAACCTATAAAATCTCCAGTAAAAAGTATAGGGAGGAAAACCTTTGCAACCTTGGAATAGGCAGGGATTTCCTAGAAGGACACAGAAAGCAAGAACTGTCTAAAAAACGAAACAACAGCAACAACAACAACAAAAAATGAAACTTGTCAAAATTAAAAACTGTTCTTTGGAAGGCTCCATTAAGAAAATGAAAAGATAATCGATAAGCTGGGGAAAATATTCATGATAGATGTATCTAACAAAGGACTTATATAAAAATACAAAGAATCTTACAGTTCAGTGGGAAGACAAAACCCCAATTTAAAAAATGAGCAACTCTTTGAGCAGACGTTTCACAAAAGAAGACAGGTGAAGTGGCCGGTGAGCATACACAGGGATAGCCGGCCTCCCTCTTCTCAGGGAAGCCCACACCACTAACACGGCCATAGTCAGAAAGACCGTCAGGAGTGAGAGCAGGAGGTGATGCCAAGCGTTTGGAATTCCCAGATGTTGCTAATCGGAAGGCAGAATGGCACAGCCCTTTGGAAAACAGTGCAGCATTTTATTATCCGATGGAATATACTTTAAACCATATAACCAATCACTTCCGTGACACGATATCCACCAAGACGATTCGCTCTCCAGTGCCCACAACAGCTTTATTCACCATAACCAGACACTGGCAGTTCCCCAAATGAACATGGGCAGGTGCGCAGATAAACAAATTCTAGTCTCTCCGTGTCATGGACATGGGCAGGTGCGCAGATAAACAAATTCTAGTCTCTCCGTGTCATGGAATACCACTTAAAAAGAAACAGATTATTGATGCAAGCAGCTGTGTAGATGAATCCCAGGAACATGGTGCTGAGCAAAAGAAGCAGGTTGACAAGTGCTTGCTCTTTACGTTTCAGTATAGGTGACATTCTAGCACAGGCCAGACTAGTATCCAGAGTGGCAGGAAGGAACTCAGCGGTTAATTACCCGGCAGTGGGGATGCAGGTTGAGCTGAACTGGCACGGTGTAGTACTGTTGGCTCACCGAGTTTTGTCGGCTTCCTAGACCTTGTGGTCATCCTCTTGACGTCCTTGGTTTTGCCCGTGTGTTCGCTTGCAGATGGATCTATCTTAACGACCAGAACTTGTGCATCCCCGCCAGCTCCTCTTTTGTGTACGGAGCTGTGCCCATAGGAGCCAGTATTTACGTTATCGGAGACCTCGATACAGGTAAGACCCTCGTGGTGATGTTGCTGGATGTGTTTGCCAGAGACGCCAAGGCACATTGTGTCACCTCTGCTGCTTCTCACGGTCTAGGTACCAATTACGACTACGTGCGTGAGTTTAAAAGAAGCACAGGGACCTGGCACCACACGAAGCCACTCCTTCCGTCTGACCTTCGCCGCACCGGGTGCGCAGCCTTACGCATTGCAAATTGCAAGCTTTTCCGCCTGCAGCTCCAGCAGGGCTTGTTCCGGATCCGTGTCCATTCACCTTGAAGAGGGGCCGGAGCAGAGGCAAAGCTCCCGACCAAACGCACCGTGACACAGCTTTCTGCGAGGGGAACAGAGGTGGCAGCCGAAACTTGCTCTGTGTGCCGGGCTTTGTATGGTAACTCTGGTGGTTTTACTGTAATGCTTAGAAGCCTGAGGTTCCGCTCTCGTTGGGGAGAACCCGTAACTGTGGAAAAAGCTCCCTTGGAGGAATCCCGTCCTCCACTTAGATGTGTCTGCAGACAAACGGAGGCTAGTCACTGTCAAAGGGAGAAGGGAAGTGGGAATCGGTATCATGTAAAATATTGAAGTTAAAATCCTAAGGTGCATTTTCCCTGAAGGGAACTCATATCTGAGTGACTGCTGTGTTCGAGTACCTGGCTTTGGTAAACAAACAAAAATCCGTATATGCAAATCAACATATCCAAACTACCGAGATTGCTTTCCTACTGCACTTGGAAGGAAATATCATGCCTAACCCTGCCTGACCGATTAAGGTTTGTGCCTAAAATGTTAGATTGGACTGTATGCCGGTTAGTGTCCGTTTACTACTAGTACTGTGTCCGAAGACTCTTTTTTAAACTATATTATCATGAATTGAAACTAAGATAAAATTTCTCGTTTACGACATTCTATCTTAGTCATCTAAAGGTTCAGTAAATCCATGAGTCAGGTTGCAGCCCTTGTGTGAATTTAAGGGAAGTTGCTGACTTCTATATTAATTCAGATACATCATGCCATAATTTCTGGGGTAGTTCTCCTGGAGTTGTGAAGGATTCATGCAGTGCTGTTCCTCCTTGCAAATAATCAGAACCATTTTATAAACACGAGGTTATTAAGCAGAGTAGGAGATTTTCTAGAAGAAAGACGTAAGTCAGACAAATCATAAAGGTCTGCTGTGACTACAAAAACTGTCCAGACAAAATATATAGGGATCAAAAACTTCAATCTGTCTGAAAGCACACAAAGTCTTGTTTACTGCTGTTTAGGATTGAAAACTTGTCTTAGAACGCACACCTGGGTAAGAATCTAGTCTTTGTAGCAGAATTTTCTCAGTGCCGTTTACTAGCAAGAGTTTTAGACAAATTATGTTATAAGTAACGTTTGGCTGGTAGAATAAACTACCTCAACTTAATTTCATTCTGTTCATAGTAGAGCGAATTATCTCTTCCTCGACCCTCTGCCCCCCCACTCCCATGTCACCCCACTTCCCATTGGGGGAGGAAGTCTGTCGTTAGTAGCACTTATTTTGTAAGATACTTTGTTTTCCATTCAAATTATGCCACCTTAGTGTGCAATCAGAGACTTCAAAGTGCTCAATGACATCATAATTTGAATTTTATGCAATATCAGATTTCTAATCGATTTAATACAAAGCTCTTCATTTCTAATTGTTTCCTACAGCTTTTTCCCCCCTCTTGGTAAATGGCTGTAAGAAGCAGTATTTTGTCTTAATAATTAATAAATGTATAAATGTATCCTTTGGTTACAAATTTGAGAATAGGAGCTTCTTCTGGAAACTTCCTAGATGGAATGCTTGTATGCTGTTAACAACATGCGTATGAAACATGGCTTATGTTCCCCTCCCCCAGCACCATGAACAGAAAAAAGGGTTACCCCCTCTCTGCAGATTTTTTTTTTTTCTTACACCTACTAAGAGTCAGTACAATGCTATAAAAGTTGCCGGGAGAAGCCTTGCCTGTGGGGGTTCTAAAGAGCGTTGTGTGTGGCAGGAGATCCTAGTAGAAGAAGGCATGCGGTGTTTATCTTCTGTATCAGAGGCACTAGGCCAGATTTGCCACACGTTCCTGTAACGCAGTCAAATCCAGCGTATAAAGCAAAGCTGACCTTTTTTTCTTCCTATTGTGTACCAGTCAGCTGTAGTCTGCACACCTTCCCAGTGATGCCTGGGGTATCTTTTAATCAAAACAAGCCACGCAACCACAGCAGAGAAAGCAAACTTCTTTTTCCAATTAGAGATTCATTTTTTAGGGGAAACAAATCACTGAAAAAGTGAATTTTCTTTGTTAGCATATCCTCTACAGAACAGAACCCTGGCCTTCAGAGGCTGCAGCTGGGGTACGTTAAAGCAGCGACTGATGTCCTGTGGAAGCCGCGACAGTCAGCAACTCTCTCTCTTTAATTTCTGAAGCTTAAAATTCTTCCCAGTCTACGCCAGGCCTCTCCAAGGAGACAGTTCATTGTTTAGGAGTGAATGAGTCCCTGTTGCAGTATTTTCAGTGCCTGCATGACTTGGTCAATTCATTTTATAAAAACAGTTCTTTTTTAAGTTTTTTATGCAGTTCATTGACACAGTAGCTGCAGAAATTAGGCAATGTTTTTTAAAATAAATTTGCCACATAATATGGGATGCTATCACCAACAGTAGCTGCTAAGTGCCAAACTGTTATTTTCCTATATATAATATATATATTAAAATACCACGTTGAAGTGTAGGAATATATTTAATTTTATTGTGTTCGAAAATTAATTATGACCTTTTTTGGTAAATGACCGTGACTTCGGTATTGTGAAATAAATTTTAACTCATTTCATGCAGGTTTATTAACATTCCGCTTATGCCTTGAAACGTCTTTTCTTGATAAATTTTTTAATACTTCTTTTTCACAAGGCACTTTTACCAGGCATAGGTTGGAATTGGCAGTTGAGGATAGATCTTAAAATTTTAAATAAAATACCTTTGGGGGAAGTGCAATGTATTTTCATTATCCCTCCAACAGAAGGAGAGTTGTCTCAGGTTAGAGTCAGTGAATATTTAAATGATCTCTCCTAGGCTGCAGTCTAAAGTAGGCTTGTTTGTTTGTTTAATGCATCTAAATATAGATTTTTCGAAGAGGTAAGTGTTTAATTTAAAATGAAGTGGTTTGTTTGGGATTTTTTTTGTGAGTGTGTGAGAGTGCTTGTATCCTGCGAGAGGGAAAAGCGTGAGAGGGAGAGAATGTGTGTGTGTGTTATGTGACTTGGTAAGTGTGTTTCTGTATGTTTACTTTTTCAATTGTAGTTCAAGACTACATATATTACTGTCTTCTGGTGCTTCAGATAAATTCTTGAGCCCATGGCCCTTCAGTTTATACTACTGAGTTAAACTCACTTTGGGTGTAAATATTCATAGAGTTGTAGTTGGTAGGAAGTCTTACTTGGTGTTTCCATTTCTTTAGTGGGATTAAGAACAGTGTTCACCAACTAGTATAGTTGGTAGGCTATAAAGATTTGGCCTAAGAAATTTTTAAATTCATTGCTTATTTCATCAGTTCTTTATTTCATTGCTGTGAGGCATTGATAGCTAACAGTAGGCTTTGCTCAGGCTGCAACAACCAAAAAAGAGTATTTGGGCAATGATGAATGGTATATTCTTTGTCCTGAATGGTCTGGTTACGTCACCACTTCAACAATGCTTTGACGGTGCCATTTTTATAATTTATAAGTGGAGGGTGGGGTTCCCTAGGCAACATACAGGAAGCACATCCTTACACTGACCTGGTAGAGATAGGGCTGTCTTTGCCATGGTGCCTCATTACTTGTGGTAGTAATTGGGTTTTTTGGAGACATTCTTTAGCTGCCTTTGTCTGTTGGGGTTCCATTTGGTGCATTCCTGCTTCAGTGGACCCAACCAAAAAGTTTTCCAAGGAGCGCTGAAAACACTGCAGTATTGCCTTCTTGCTGGCCTGCTTGATTCCAGAGAGTCTCCTGTGGTCAGATAAAGACATCTGATTATCTGGGGAAAGAATGAGGTGGCACTTGGCATGGATTTAAAAGGTGCTGGAACCCCCTTAAGAAGCACCTGGTGTGGGGGGAGGGGTAAGACTGCCTTGTTCTGTGGCTGCCCTCACGAAGTCAGGGAGCCTTCGGGAGCCAGGGAGAGAGGAGACTCCCGATTATTACAGAAAAGCTGCCCTGGGTTTAGTCAGCAAATGCTTCTAGTGCCCCGGCCAAAAATTCTGTTGGGATTTCTGGGGAGCTTTCATGCTGCCCTCCCTCTAGATGGTCAACTCCTTGTGGGCAGCGACCCTGTCTTGGCCATCTGCTAATCCCAGTGCTTGGCACACAGCAGGCAGCCAGTAAATGGTTGGCCACCGCAGTACAGTACTCTTGTTGTCAAAGCGATGTTTATCACTGGATTGAGAAGTCCTTTCCATGAACGACTCATTTTGCTGGAACTTTGTGCACAGATGGGCTGGCCTCATGTTGTAGGGTGAGAACCTAGTACAGAAAAAAAAAAAAAAAAAAAAAAGTAAAGTGCCTGACATACGGATGCAGACCTCTTTGGTGTCCATATGGTTCTGTAGGATTTGGGAACCCCATCCTCAGCACACCTAATGCCGTTTATCACACTTAGTGTTGGGTTTTAGTTATTGTTTTGTATATGTGGTTCCAAGCCTTTTCCAGAACATACTGCTTGGATCCTCACATCTCCGTGATGGGTGCAGCGCCCCCCGCCCTCGGACAGGGAGCAGTCTCTCAGGCCCAGTAGATGCGGCCTCGTTCCCCACCTCACATGTGAGCAGAAACCATTATCATTTCACTGTTCAGCCTTTGAGACTCCTACTTAGTTTTCTAGGTGTACAAGTATTTTTAGTCGTAAAATAATCTTTTGTGGTATAACTTAAACCCCCAAACATGTCCTTCACAAGTTACACAGATGTAAGCTGAAAGGTGTTTGGTTTTCTTTGTCCATTAGCCAGAGGAAATTTAAGAATTTATGAAGGTCGTAAGAACAGGAGTACTAAGTATTCGTGTTTGACAGAGAAGCACTTTTTCCTTTTAAAGATCTAAAGCATCATTTATACTACTTTTCTTACCACATCTGAAATCAGTGAGGGAGAAGGGATTGTGTCTTAGAGTGTTGGAGAAGGTATTTTGCTAGCTTGCTAATAACGCCTGAAGTACTCTTTCTAGCCGGTTCAGGAATGATAGAGATGTGTGGTATGATGGTGAAGGGTGACCCGCTTGCCCATTTGGAAGAAGAACATGAAATCAGGTTGAGGCTTTGCTGCCTGCTGGTGGTCAAGTCAATACTATGGAAATAGAGACTTCTGCGATTTTTTTGGCAAGCCAACTGGTAAAACTTTTAAAACTTGTGTATTTTTCGGAAGCGATTCTATTTTGAATCCTAACTCTATCTCAGCTTTGTCCCAGGGCCGTCCCTGTGTTTACGTGACACCTAAGGAGCTCGGTTACGACTCTGTGTTCCTTGGTGTAAATGCGCGTGATTGAGGAAAGTGTGTTCGCGTTCCCTTCTGTCCCTGAAGTTCTCTAACTGATCTGATTGGGTCTTTAAACTTCCCCCCTTCCTCATCACATCACATATCTGCAAATAAAACAGCCTTGCATCATGGCCTACGGCAGAACACCTGTCACCTTCGCTTTTTCTTTTTTGAGATAAAAACTAATACTTTAAAATTGCTGCTCAGCTGGAATTTAGGCTAATTATAGAGTTCGATATTGATGTCGTCGTGGCCCAGCGAAGCTGCTGTAAATGCTTCCGTCAGTGTGATCTGTGTTAGAGAAGTCACGAGCCGGAGGGGGGAGGCAGCCCACGCAGCCGGTGCGCATGCTGCCTTCGTTCAGATGCGGCCATTCACGTGACCCGTACTGACACACGGCCACTGCAGATCATTTGGACCCCAAGCAGATGCAGGCTCATCTTTCTTTCTGGTTGGCAAATTATATTTATTAGATCTTTATTTTTAGCATTTCCACAAAAATCATAGATTTGAAAATACCTTGTTTTTATTTTTCCTCCTCATCAATTACAAATAAGGTGAATGTTAGAACCTTGCATTATGTTTTTTCCAGTTAAACCTGTGAACTTGGTATAAGTATGACTATACGTAGCTCTCTTTATCATGTTTCCTGTTTAGGGGGATGAGAATTACATCCACTTATTCCCTTGTTCTTTGTGTTTATAGGAAAAACTCCTCTGGCTACCTCATTATGTAGTGTTGTGCTTGACCCCCTGCCAACTTAGGAGAATTAAACACATTCTGTCCTTTAACAAAAGCCTGGAAGCAAGCAGCGGGCGGCCTTGAGGAATACAATTCTCTAAGGCATATTTTCCATTTTACTACTTTTTTTTTTTTTTAAATAGGCACTTTTAATGAGGAGGAACAATCATTCTCCTAGAGCTGCTGCAAAGTGATTACTTGAAACTCAACTTGAACTTTAAAGAGTCTTTAAAAGACTGTGTTTTCATAATATAGAGAAGTAGTATATTGAAACAGCACTGCTGTGTAAGACAGAGGGCCTGCGCCCCATCCCGTTAGGACCAGACGGGAGAAGGTGTCTGTGGAATCAGACCCAGCATTTGGAGTTGCATGCTTGGGGCCGTTGTGCTCCATTGTCTACAAGGTGCTACTGCGAGCAGCTTAAGGAGCTCTTAAGTGTAATTCCATGAATTTGTTTCCCAGGAATCTTTAATTTTGATGAAAATTGAGGTTCATTAGTAGATTCCTCTTCT